TAGTGCATCGGGTCCAATGAAAATATTTTGTGACAATACTGGAGCAATTGCCTTGGCGAAGGAATCCAGATTTCACAAGAGAACCAAACACATAAAGAGACGCTTCAATTCCATCCGCGATCAAGTCAAGGAGGGAGACATAGAGATTTGCAAAATACATACGGATCTGAATGTTGCAGACCCGTTGACTAAACCTCTCTCACGAGCAAAACATGATCAGCACCAAGACTCCATGGGTGTTAGAATCATTACTATGTAATCTAGATTATTGACTCTAGTGCAAGTGGGAGACTGAAGGAAATATGCCCTAGAGGCAATAATAAAGTTGTTATTTATATTTCCTTATATCATGATAAATGTTTATTATTCATGCTAGAATTGTATTAACCGGAAACTTAGTACATGTGTGAATACATAGACAAACGGTGTGTCCCTAGTATGCCTCTACTTGACTAGCTCGTTAATCAAAGATGGTTAAGTTTCCTGACCATAGACATGTGTTGTCATTTGATGAACGGGATCACATCATTAGAGAATGATGTGATGGACAAGACCCATCCGTTAGCTTAGCATAATGATCGTTTAGTTTTATTGTTATTGCTTTCTTCATGACTTATACATATTCCTCTGACTATGAGATTATGCAACTCCCGAATACTGGAGGAACACTTTGTGTGCTATCAAATGTCACAACGCAACTGGGTGATTATAAAGATGCTCTACAGGTGTCTCCGGTGGTGTTTGTTGAGTTGGCATAGATCAAGATTAGGATTTGTCACTCCGAGTATCGGAGAGGTATCTCTGGGCCCTCTCGGTAATGCACATCACTATAAGCCTTGCAAGCAATGTAACTAATGAGTTAGTTACAGGATGATGCATTACGATACGAGTAAAGAGACTTGCCGGTAACGAGATTGAACTAGGTATTAAGATACCGACGATCAAATCTTGGGCAAGTAACATACCGATGACAAAGGGAATGACGTATGTTGTTATGCGATTTGACTGATAAAGATCTTCATAGAATATGTAGGAACCAACATGAGCATCCAGGTTCCGCTATTGGTTATTGACCGGAGATGTGTCTCGGTCATGTCTACATAGTTCTCGAACCCGTAGGGTCCGCATGCTTAACGTTCGATGATGATTTGTTATTATGAGTTATGTGATTTGATGACCGAAATTTGTTCGGAATCTCGGATGAGATCACAAACATGATGAGGAGTATCGAAATGGTTGAGAGGTAAAGATTCATATATTGGAAGGTTGCATTTGGACATCGGAATGGTTCCGAGTGATTCGGGCATTTTTTCGGAGTACCGGGAGGTTACCGGAACCCCCCGGGAGAAGTATTGGGCATATTGGGCCTTATTGGAGGAGAGGAGAAAGGGCCATGTGAGCCCCCCCCCTCCTTGCCCAAACCGAATTGGACTAGGGGAGGGGGCCGCCCCCCCTCTTTCCTTCCCCCTCCCTCTCCCTTCCCTTTCCCTCCGGTGGAAGAAAGGAAAAGGGCGCAGGGGGGGGGGGCGAATCCTATTTGGACTAGGAGTCCAAGTAGGACTCCCCCCTGGCGCGCCCAACCTGGACAGCCTCCTCTCTCCCTCCCTCCTTTATATACGTGGCCAGGGGGCACCCCAATAACACAACAGATAATCTCTTAGCCGTTTGCGGTGCCCCCTCCACAGTTTACCATCTCGGTCATATCGTCGTAGTGCTTAGGCAAAGCCCTGCGCCGGTAACTTCATCATCACCGTCGCCACGCCGTCGTGCTGACGGAATTCTTCCTCTTCCTCAACTGGATCAAGAGCTCGAGAGACATCATCGTGTTGAACGTGTGCAGAACTCGAAGGTGTCGTACGTTCGGTACTTGATCGGTCGAAACCAGAAAAAGTTCGACTACATCAACCGCGTTGTCAAACGCTTCCGCTTTCGGTCTACGAGGGTACGTAGACACACTCTCCCCCTCTTGTTGCTATGCATCTCCTAGATAGATCTTGCGTGATCGTAGAATTTTTTTTTTAAATATTGCGTTCCCCAACACTATTTGGAACTGCCATAACCGTTCAACCTTCGAGTTTAAACATCCAAGCACCCCCTTTGATGTTATTTTTGCAACTTGTGTGAACCTGATCTCTTGGGCAGGACTTTTGAAGATCAAGGACAAGACTGCGCCTGAGCGAGGAGCAATGCTATTGAAGGACAACACGAAGAACATGATGAGGATCTGTGCGACGGCTCACGACGATGAAGAATGTGCAACTGTCGTTGGTGTCTTAGTTGATGATCACCTCTCTTAGTTTTTACATCTGGTTGTTGAGCTATACTCCTCTTGAACTTTGCTCCTGGGTGAGCTCTTGCTGGTTATGTCTTGCCTTTAAACTTGATAGGTTAGTTTTGGTGTCACTGGGTTTTTATCCCATGGTAAATGTTTCAAATGCGAGCATCTTACAATGGGTTTTTCAGTGGTGCGATGAACTTACTTTCTCCCTTTTTCGTCTCCTGAACAATTTTGGATCGGCTTTGTATTTTCATTATGATTTAATGGAAAGGGGTCCCGTTTAAGAAAACCTATTACACCAGGGCATCTTTCATGTGCGCAGTATTGTACTTCCTCCGTTCTTAAATATAAGTCTTTTTAGAGATTTGAATATGAACTACATACGGAGTAAAATGAGTGAATCTACTCTCCCCGTCCTTGAAAGATTGTACTTTCAACTTTGTTGGAGGGTCAAACTATCTCAAATTTTGACCGAGTTAGTGCAAAAATATATCAATATTTATGAAACCAAATAGGTATATGATGAAAATATATTTTATCATAATGTACTAATTTGATGGCATAAATATTGGTGTGTTATTGTATAAATACAGTCAAACATAAAAATGTTTGACTTCCCAACAACAAAGTTCGAAGTACACTCTTTTATGAACGGAGGGAGTACATTCTAAAATACGTCTCCATATTCAAATCTCTTAGAAGACTTATATTTAGAAACGGAAGGAGTATGAATTTGGGTATTATAGAGCCAAGGAGATTGCACATCCTTTGTTTGATTTGCTTACAAATGGAGATAGTAGGTGCCTACTCACGGTAACACGCTGAAGAAACAGCCACCTGAAGGAGAGGCTGTGGTGATTAATTTGGTGGTAGCAAGCATGTTTTAACTGGCAAACCGTGGCTGGCAGCCGCACGTACAGGACCACCCTGACCCTGCCTGCCGATCGACGGGCCAACGTTCATGAAGACCAGCATGATTAATTGACACATGGAGGAGACCGCTGAATCGCTGCTGTGTGGCCACCTCGCTGGCCTCTGCACTGTCGCAGCACGCTACAATTTCGCGTTCGCGACCACCGCTTGCTCGCTCCGCTGCTGTACTCATCGTCTACGTTCTCCCGCCGTTCCCACAGCCACGGTACATGCCGACGCTAAATCGCAAGCAGACAAGCGCGCGCGTGCGTGCCCGGTGAGAGCAGCGTATACGTATCGTATCGGCGCCATAGCATAGCTCGTGCTATATATCCGCCCGTCTCGTCACGGGGCCTCCCGGGTGCTGTCGTCCTCTCCCCTCGATCAGCTCCATAGCCATCGGCTGTGCCACTGCCTGCGCACGGACGGAGTGGCGCCACGATCGTATTCGTATATATCGATCGATCATGCCGACCGACCTCTCGGCGTCGCGCTCCTCGACGTCCTCGCCATCTTCCTCCTCCGCCGCGTCCCCTCACGGCGGCGTGCATAGGCCGGGGGACGAGCGCGAGAAGGGGACGCCCCCGGGCCCGGGCGGCAAGCGCAGGCGGCGGCTGGCGGCGATCGGGCCGCGGGCGAGGTGGGCGCGGGAGTGGGACCGGGCGTACCTCCTGGCGTGCGCGGCGGGGCTCATGGTCGACCCGCTCTTCCTGTACGCCGTGTCCGTGAGCGGCCCGCTCATGTGCGTCTTCCTCGACGGCTGGTTCGCCGCCGCGGTCACCGCGCTCCGGTGCATGGTGGACGCCCTGCACGCCTGGAACCTGCTGCTGCGGCTCCGGACGGCGTGCGCGCCGGGGGAGGAGAAGGAGGAGGACGACGCCGACGCCGACGCCGACGAGGAGGCGCAGCGCGTCGGCGGCGGCGCGGCGCCCGCTCGGCTGCCGAGGTCCAAGAAGGGGGGGCTCCTCCTGGACGTGTTCGTCATTCTTCCGGTGATGCAGGTGCGTCCATGCGTTCCGTCAGCTCAGCTCATTGTTTTAGCAACTGTTTGTTTGATTGGTACGACGAAGAAGCATCTTTCACATCCAAACAACACTGCAGTGGCCCATAGTGCCGGATTAGAACGATCGAACGAACGAACGCATGTCCAAAACATCCGGAGAATGAGGAATTTGGAGTCTTTGAGGCTGTAGGCCTGTAGCAATGACTTCCCTGGCATGTCGTCGTGTGATGCAGCAGCATTGCATTTCGCCACCGCATCCTGCTCCTGGCAAGGTCCCATCTCCGACCACGCACAGGCACAGCGATGGATGGACCGGTCTGCGAGCCGGGCCGGGCAGCGACGTGGTGCAGGACCTGCAGTTCCATGTCAAAAAAAAAATCTTTTTTACACGTGCAGTACTTTGTACTAGGAGTAGAATGTTGTAGTGCATATTCTCAAAAAAAAAATGTCGTGGTGCATGGTGATGGTGCTCTAGTGTAATGCCAAGGCATGATGCGTACTTGTCGGATTAGCCACATTGGGGCCGTTGCCGAGCCGTCGGATTGCTACCATGTTTGAGCCAACGACGCATTCAATGCAGATTCAAAGTTAGTTGCGCAATGAATGGTCGCAGCCAAGGCCCCACCGATACGCGCGACTCTACCTGCGAGCTGTGCCTGCCCGATATTTTCCATCTTTCCTCAGCTTGCCTTCTTTGCTTATTATGCACAACATATAGTACTGCTTATCATTGTACGTAGTTCCTAAAACGAATCTGTCAGTGCAGTCCTGCTGGCTCAGATAATAAGTTATGTGAATTAATACGTGATGCAAGATGTATGTATGTATGTATGTGTGTGTGTGCATGTATGGGCGTCGTGCGCGACGCAGGTGGTGATGTGGGTGGGCATACCGGCGATGATACGGGCCGGGTCGACGACGTCGGTGATGACGGTGCTCATGGTGGCGTTCCTCTTCGAGTACCTGCCCAAGATCTACCACTCGGTGCGTTTCCTCCGCCGGATGCAGAACGTCGCCGGATACATCTTCGGCACCATCTGGTGGGGCATCGCGCTCAACCTCATGGCCTACTTCGTCGCCGCCCACGTACGTCCCACCCTCACCGGTCCTTTCATCGTCTTCGTCGTACCTAGTACGTCGCGTGCGTGGTGACCGCTCTACCCTGTCACGCGCGCGCGCGCACACATGGCCGTCTGGCTGGCACGCGAGCTTCATTGCTGAGGCAGCAGAGGACGCTTGGCCGTTTGTTGCAGGCGGTGGGCGCGTGCTGGTACTTGCTGGGGGCGCAGCGGGCGACCAAGTGCCTCAGGGAGCAGTACTGCGCCGGGCGCGTCGGCGGGTGCGCGGCCGGCGCGCTGGCGTGCGCCGAGCCGCTCTACTACGGCGGCGCCGGCAGGCTGGGGGGCGGCGCGGGCGCGGACAGGCTCGCCTGGGCCCGCAACGCCAGCGCCAGGGCGACGTGCCTCGACAGCGGCGACAACTACCAGTACGGCGCCTACAAGTGGACCGTCATGCTCGTGGCCAACCCCAGCCGGCTCGAGAAGATCCTCCTCCCCATCTTCTGGGGCCTCATGACGCTCAGGTGATCACAGCTTTGCAACAGGGAGATCGATCTTGTTAGTTGCAGACTCTTGTTTCTGATGTGTGGTCATCGATCTGTCGCCGATCAGCACGTTTGGGAATCTGGCGAGCACGACGGAGTGGTCGGAGATAGTGTTCAACATCATCACCATCACCGGCGGCCTGATCCTGGTCACCATGCTCATCGGGAACATCAAGGTGTTCCTGAACGCGACCACGTCCAAGAAGCAGGCGATGCACACGCGGCTGCGAAGCGTGGAGTGGTGGATGAAGCGCAAGAACCTGCCGCAGAGCTTCCGGCACCGGGTGCGGCAGCAGGAGCGGCAGCGGTGGGCGGCGACGCGCGGCGTGGACGAGTGCCGCATCGTGCGCGACCTCCCCGAGGGCCTCCGCCGGGACATCAAGTACCACCTCTGCCTCGGCCTCGTCCGGCAGGTGCCGCTCTTCCACCACATGGACGACCTGGTGCTCGAGAACATCTGCGACCGGGTCAAGTCCCTCGTCTTCCCCAAGGGAGAAGTGGTACGTACAGAAATCTATCTCGATTCATCTTGAAAAACCAATGGCGCAAATCACAGTCTGTTTCTTTCACCACATGACAGATCGTGAGGGAAGGCGACCCGGTGCAGAGGATGCTGTTCATCGTGCGGGGGCACCTGCAGAGCAGCCAGGTGCTGCGGAACGGCGGGACGAGCTGCTGCATGCTGGGGCCGGGCAACTTCAGCGGGGACGAGCTGCTGTCGTGGTGCCTGCGGCGGCCGTTCCGGGAGCGGCTGCCGGCGGCGTCGTCGACGCTGGTGACGCTGGAGAGCACGGAGGCGTTCGGGCTGGAGGCGGCGGACGTCAAGTACGTGACGCAGCACTTCCGCTACACCTTCGCCAACGAGAAGGTGCGGCGGAGCGCGCGCTACTACTCGCACGGGTGGCGCACCTGGGCCGCCGTCGCCGTGCAGCTCGCGTGGCGCCGCTACAGGCACCGCAAGACGCTCACCTCGCTGTCATTCATCCGCCCACGGCGGCCGCTGTCCAGGTGCTCCTCGCTCGGGGAGGAGAAGCTGCGGCTCTACACCGCGCTGCTCACCTCGCCCAAGCCCAACCAGGACGACCTCCTGCTCTGAAGACTGGCAGACTTACTTGCTTTGTCAGAGCGTCGCGCAAATGCGAGAACCGACAATTTGGGCTGAAATCCAGCCGAGGGTTCAAAGGTAGAAAGGAAAATGGTGATGCTATTTCACACATTTGACAAATGTCACTTCTCCAGGGACTGGCTGGAACTGTTTCGCGAGCTTTCCAAAAACGCACGGAAATAAGAAAGAAAATAAATGCCACCCCCGTATTCCCTGAAGGACGTTTTTTTTTCATTTTTCAGGCTGATAGCTTAGGGCATGTACAATGGTGCTATTTTAGGAGTGTCACGTAGGATAAATGATGAGGTGGAGGAGAGAGAACTCGTAAAAAAAAATTTGTCTTCTCTTATTTAAGATAAGACAACAGATGATCTCTTAGCACAATTTGTCTCACCATGTTTTAAGGAATTGCTAATTATTAAAGATAAGGCTAAGATATAACCCATTGTAGACATATTTTTTTGTCATCTCTAAATTACATGCAAGACTTAAGATAAGACTATCTTACCAACCATTGTACATGTACAATGGTTGATAAAATAGTCTTATCTTAAATCTTGCATGTAATTTACAGATAACAAAAAAAGACGTTTACAATAGGTCATGTCTTAGCCTTATCTTCAATAACTAGCTATTCTTAAAAACGTGGTGAGACATATTGTACTAAGAGATCATCTCTTGTCTTCTCTTAAATAAGAGAAGACAACATTTTCTTACGAGTTCTCTTCTCCACCTTATCATTTATCCTACGTGGCATTTCTAAGATAGCATCATTGTACATGCCCTTAGATCATCTCTAGCAGACCCTGTATAATGCTCCGACCTGCAAAATAACCGCCAAAACACGGGTCCGTGCGAAAAATGTTGCCCAATCAGACCTCTCAAACGGGTCGGACCGGTAAAAAATTTGCGGGGCGCTGCATAATTCCCACCCAACCCGCGAAAACGCGGGTCCCCCCTTGCCCCGTCGGTGCCATGTATATAGCGGTAGCGGTTGGCGCCGGGGGGGGGGGGACATTTCTGCTCACACTTTTCCCCACCCACCGCCCCCCCACGCTTTTCCCCACCACGCGGCCGGGCCGCCGCCTACTAGCCGGCGGGATCACGCGGGAGGTCCACCACACGCCCGAGATTGTCCTCCGCCACTTCCTCCTGCCTCGGCGGGCCGGAAAGTTGCAGATTAGCGGTTGTTTGTCGCGGCGGCCGAATTTCGCATTTCTGGCCACCGGTGGCTGCGCCAAGCCATGGATTGGTCGAGGAGCACCCCGACCAGCCCCAGCAAAGCCCCAACGCCGCATGCATGTATTGGTTCCTCCTCTAGCCGCCGTCGACGGTTTGCCGGCAAGGACTCGGCCGTCCGTTGCCCGGGCTAGGCGCTCGCGCAGCGGCTCGCCGATATCGCTCATACAGTGCGATGACTGCAAGCAGACAGTGCTGCGGCTAACATCTAGCACGCCGAAACACCCTGGATGGGTATTCTTCAAATGCAAAAACGATGGGGTATGTTCTTGTTTCATTCGGCTTTGTCACCCTATTCGGTTCAATTTTGATAGCTTATTGAGATGGTCATGTGTGTACAAAGGTGGATGCTCATTTTGGTATTGGGAAGAAGATTACATTGATTTATTGATAGAAAAAAAATTAATAGATGTCTGTGCACTCATTGGTAGAATTAGGGCTAATGATGCGGCTGCATGTGCAATTAGAGAAGAAACTTGGGGAAGCAACGTCTACTTCTTTAGAATCAAAGAAGAAGAACGAAGAATGCAAGATTAAGAATCCGTAGATCAACAATGAAGGCATGGAGAAGATATTGGTCCAACTAGTGGGAGCAGTTATGGAAGTTGGATATCTTCTAAAATGCCTAATTGTGGTTCTTATTTTCTTTGGTCTTACTATTCTAGCAAAGAATTGGTGAATTACTATGTATCCAATGTCGTTCAAGCAAAGAAATGTGTTTCCAAATATCCCTTTTTATGGGTCCGCTTTGCGGGGTCTGCTCG